CCGCCTGTATTTACACAGTGCGCTTCTGTTCACACCAATCATTGCCGGTGTCCCCTTGTTGATGAGCAATAATCCTGGCAGGCTAACACCACTGGAGATCTATTTACCAGCCAACTCCTTAGCAGCCTGGCTGTAATAACAAATAGAAAATCAGGTGAGTTCCATTTATGAATCAGATACAGAGAGTACATGGGCTTTTGACACTACTATCTGCTCCTCATTCGTTAGAAGGGGCTCACTGGTGTTAATATGGCCAACTAAAAAAAATAGCAGTAATGGAGATGTAGACTTGTATTAAAGAATAAAAATTGACTGTAGCCATTTCCACCTTTGGGGAGGGTAATAGCATATTGTATACCAGTGGGAAAACTGCCCTCTATGTGGCTTTGTACTATTTCAGAGACTGGAGGACAGGGGAAGCCAGTAGTTTAGGGACTGGAAAATCTAGTCACAGGGAGATATGGGGGACTCTGGAGAGAGACAGAGCCCAACCACAGTGGTGAAAAGCCTGCTGGAAAAGGGTGGGGGGCAGCTGATAGGATGTGGAAACCTTTCATCACCTCAACATTTGCTCTATTTACTCTTGGGAGTGATAAACTCAAGGAAAGTGATGTGGATCCCATGCTTGCTGGGCCAGGAGCAGAGGGAACAGAAGAGCACTCGGAGGTGGGTAGGTGAATGTGACAGCTCAGGGGGAGAGCTCAGGACATGCCAGCCTCCTGGAACTGGCAAGAAGCACGGGACAGGGGTTTAAACCAACCTGATTTAAATCTGCAATATAGGAAGACCTCAGCCTACCGAGATAAAATTGGGCCCTTGACCAGTAGTGGCCACCTTTTAGATTTTAAAGACTTCAAATCAAAATACTTTAGGGGCTGGGACCAGAATAGCGCTCTCAAGGCAAAACACTAGGGAGTCAGGTGGAAGAGAAGCCATGCCAAAGAGCCAGGGTTTGGGTTTTTTTCACTTTGAGCTTTTTTTTTTTTTTTTGTCAGTCATTTACCACCTCCCTTTCTTCAGTATCCTTTCTGAGAGGCAGCCTGGTATCGGGGAGAAAACAGGCTTTCTGGTCAATCATATGTGTTTAACCTTCACGCCTGTCCTCCATTTGTAAAAGAGAGATGATAATGTGCCTTGCAGCGCTGTGCACGGATTCAAGAAGATACAGTATGGAAAGAACTTAGTGAAGTGGCTGGCAGGAGAGGCTCTGTCTGTTCCTCTGTCTTGTTAGCTTGTGTTGATGGACTGAATAAACAGATGGATCATGGCCAGACCATGTACAAAAACAGAGCCCTGACCCACACTCTGCAGCAACCAGGCCAGGAAACCAACCATTATCTATAGTAACCAGACCAGAAGGCCAACCTACTGTGTACAAGTCAAATTTGTAACAAGTCAGTCTCTCTCCCCCCGTCCAGTAAGACCTGTAAAAATCTACCCCAAACGGTCAACACTTGATTAATGACTGACAGCTTCTTCAGTTTTTGTCCCTGTTTTCAACTTAAAACCAATCAGAAGAAGCCAAATATATACCCCTAACCAACCACATGGTTGCCATGCTTCTACTTCGCCTACCTGCAGCTTCCCATGCCAATAGTCATCAGTCAGGGCACATCTGAAGTCTTCCCTTTTTCCACTATAAAGCTTTCCCCCTCCTTTGCTTGCTTTTGAGTCTCTGTCAAAATGTAAGGCATGGTGGCTGACTCCCTTGCAATGACTCTTTCGCAAGCTCTGGATAAATAGCGTTTGTCTATTCTCATTTGGTTCGTCTTCAATTATTTCCACAGTGTCTTTTTTTTTTTTTTCTGATTTTCCCTTTTTATGGACTAAGTGTTTGTGTCCTCCACAAATGCTTATGCTGAAGCCCTAATCCCCAACGTGGTGGTATTTAGAGATGGGGCCTCTGGGAGGTGATTAGAGTTAGATGAGGTCATGGGCGTGGAGCCTTCATGATGGGATTAGTGCCTTTATAAGAAGAGACACCAGAGCAAGTGCTTGTTCTCTCTCAATCTCCCCCCCCCACATATGAGGACACAACAAGAGGGAAGTGGCAGCCATCTATAAGCTAGAATAGGCTCTCACCAGGAATAGAATCAACCAGCACCTTGATCTTGGACTTCCCAGCCTCTAGAACTGTGATAAAATGAATTTCTGTTGTTTAAGCCACTCAGTCTATGGCGCTTTGTTATGGCAGCCTGAACAAAGAAACCCCCCTTTTTACTTTGTTCCCCTTCAAACCCAAAGCTCTGGACCTTCCCAAACCTCTGGTCCCACCACACTTGATCTGTCCACCATCAAATCAGGGTCATGCACTCTAAGTGACAACTTGATCAGTATATGCTTGTATAGTGCACATTACTCAACGCAGGCCACAAATGTACTGCTCCTGGGTTCTCCTAGAGATAGTACCTTAATGAAAAAGGATTGATTCCATTGGTTTGAATTTCAGGCATCATAGAAGGGAGATATCTGAGGGCAGGCAGAGGCATTTTTTGTATCTCTCATATCAACCTCGGGGTACTTCCCTATTGCTTGTAGCTTCTGCATCCTACCTATATACCAGGACACATCTGATCTTGGTCATTACCCATTCACTGAGAATGTAAGTTTTGAATGTTTAAGGATTCATCAGTTTAAGATATATCAATATCTACATATCTCTATCTATCTGTCTATCTATTCATCCATCTGTCCGGCTAGCTATCATCTGTATATGCACATGCATATTCTAATATTTATTATATATTCATATATTTATAAAAGTGATATCACTTTCTCCTTCTTAATCTAATACATAATAGACATCTTTCTATTGCAATAAGTATACTACACAATATGTTTTACAGCTGTAGTATTTGGTTGTATGTCTATATAATTATACTTGATCCCTCATTGCAGGTATTCAGAACTTTTCCCATTTTTCCTGATTATAAACAATGATTCTTATATTTTCTTTCCATTCTCTCTCTCTTAGATTTAAATCTTTAAAAAAGTTTATTTCCTTGTGGCGTATGAGGTAGGACTATAGTGTATTTATTTCCAAATAAATTGTCTCAACAACGCTAATTACCGAACAATCTCTACTACTCTATCAATTTGAAATACTTTATCATACCTTAAATTCCTAAGGTTTCTTTTAGAATTTCTGTTCTGTTCTAGTCCCCTCTTCATGTAATTCTTTGATAGGGATACCCTATTTCAACAATTATAGTATTTAATGTATTTATTTGATATCTGATAGAGGAAGGACATCCTCCTCCATTTTTTTTCAGACAAATATTCTGACTTTTAACCAAAGCCACTCACGATGAATAAAACGAATGCATTTGTGTTTATTCTTTCGGATTGCTCTTGTTCTTCTTGAAAAACCAAGGTGCAGAGACTAGACTGGTGTGAGGGAGTCTGTGTGGAGGATCTGCATGGAAGCTGGAATGAGTCACAAGTTGAATGATAAGTATTCCATGGGTGGAAAATTTCCAAGCAGCCTGCACACACATCTGGGCTACTGTCGTCAGTCACTGTGGGAGTCGGCTGCCTAAAACTGTGTCTCCCACTGGAGGAGAGGTTGTCAAACCTGGTTAAATTATCAGAAGAGCTTTCCCGAAGTAACGATGCCAGACCTCACTACAAACAGAGTGAATCAGAATCTCTCAGGCAGTGGTCTCTGGGTATGGGTGCATTGGAAAATTTCTCCAGGCAACACTCTTGTGTAGCCGGAGCTGAAACCCTGCGCGCGGGACTGGGTGCTTCCTCTAGCCCGAAACCATGCTGTTGATTCATTTGGAATTCCCAGGCCTTTGTACTGCTGCTGACATGTGTCGGACAGAGCAGAACTGAACTGAAATCAGATGAAGACACCCAGACTTACACGTCTCTACCAATTTTCCTAGAGAAGGGACACAGATGATTAGTGCCCACTTGGGAATCTTTATGACTTTCCCTCCATCACACCGGGAGAAGTAGCTTCAAAGGGGAGAAAAATGAGCATGGTCTTGGTCCAGTAAAGGTACTAGCTCAACAGTCTGAAAAGAGGAAGCTTCAAGACCATTTAGGCTGTCTCCGTATTTTAAGCTCATGAAGGCCAGAGAGGTTAGATGACTTTGCAAGGTGGCACAGCTCTCAGTGGCACATCTGGAACAGAAACCAACCCTTTGTATTCCAGACATCCACGTTATAGCCTGCTGTCCTCATGTGAGTGCATGCGAGGGAGTGTGTATGTGCGGGTGTGAGGGACTGGGTGTGTGAAGGGCTGCATGTGTGCATGCGTGTACTAGGAATGGGAGGAGGTGGGGAGCCTGAGCAGAGAACTAGTTGCATTATAATAAATAGAAAACCAGGAGCCCTGGCCCTTCTCTTTCTGGCACGTGGTTCACTGCGTTCTCTCCAGGTTGGTCCCCGGCAGGTGCAGCAGTGGGGGCCTGGGAGGCAGGGTAGGCCTCCAGGGCCCAGTGCCTGCCATGGGGGAGGTGCTCTGCACTAAGGTTTACTGATGCAGAATGTGGGGAAGGGCTACTGTGAGTGCTCTCAGGCTCATTCTGGGGTGAGATGGTGTGTTGGGAAAGCATTGATCATCCTTTGCCTGGCTTAGGGTCCAGGATTTTTCTGTGGGTGGATGGCAGTTTTCTCCATCTGTAAATTCAAGCCAAGTAGAAATGTCTATGCTCACACATCACTGAATGTGTGCTCCTTGGACAGACCTCTTTTCACCCCAGGGTCTTCCAGGGTGTTCCTCTTTGCCAGGCCTAAGAAACCGGGGCAACCTTTGGATCCTGGCACCCAAAGTCCGCCCCCCGCTTTCTTCTTGAGTCTTCAGGGAGGCCACATGGAAGAAGCAGTACCTGCCAGGAGAGTCTTTGGTGGGTCTGATCTGCTAGCTGGGTCCTGATAGAAGAGTGCAGGCTTGTTGTATTCAGGCAAAGCCCAAGCTCTGATTTGCTAGAGAAAAACCACTACAGAAGCAAAATTACCCAAGAGTTGGCTAATGCCAATTAGAGACTTACCCGAGCAGTTGGAGATCACGGTCTCATGGGCTTTGCTCTTAATCCAAATGGTTCGGATCACAATGGCTTAGATGGCACTGTGGAAAGGACCAGAAGTAATAATAACATGGCTGGTGGGTCCCTACTGTGAGGACTGTGAGGACACAGACAGAGGACCACTGCCAGTTACCTGAGTGTGAGGTAAGGGCGGCGGGGGGGGGTCTCTAAACCATGCCTGGTCCCTATCCTTGCCGATTATAGAATCCCAGCATGTTACAGCTACTTCTTTTTTTAACTGAGGAGGCTAGAATTTGGTGAAGTGAAATGGTTCTCCAAGATAACTCATATGGTTAGAGGTAGAGCTGAGATTAGAATCCAAACTCAGGGTTTGGGATCGGAAATATTTTTATTTGTAACCAGCTTTACTGCTTGCTGCTTGTATGACCTTGACCTTAGACACTCTTTAAGGTGGCCCCATGATTCCTGCCTCTGGTATTCATGCCTTTGTGAGATCCCCTCCCCTTGAGTGTGGTGGGAACTGTGACTGGCTTCTAATCCATGCATTGGGCTGAAGATGATAAATGTCTGTGATCGTGTAAGATTGTAGTGCCTGTCTTGCTAGTGTCTCTCTCTGTTGCCACCATGAGTCCTACAGTAGCAGAAAATTAATTCTGCCAAGAACCCCTGGGAGCCTGAAAGAAGATCCTTCCTCAGTTGAGCCTCTGATGATACCCCAACCTTGGCAGACACCTTGTTGGTTGCCTTGCTTAAGCAGAAGTAAGCCATGCCCAGTTAAGCCATGTCCAGACTCCTGACCCACAGACCCTGGAGATAATAAATGTATGTTGTTTTAAGTGACCAGGTTCATGATAATTTGTTACCCAGCAATAGATAAGCAATATACTGACTGATACAGGCTGAATGTTTGCGTCACCACCCCTAAATTTATATGTTGAAATGTAAATGACCTCGGTGATAGTAGTAGGAGGTGGAGCCTATGGGAGGTGATTAGGTCATGAGTGCTCATATAAAAGACACCCCACAGAGCTCCCTAGCCTCCTCCACCATGTGAGGACACAAGGAGAATTTGGCTGCCCAGAAGAGAGCTGTCACCAGAATCTGGCCATGCTGGTGCCCTGTTCTTGGACTGCCAGCCTCCAGCACTGTGAGAATTGAAGTTCTGTTGTTTACAAACAACCCAGTCTGTAATATTTTGTTACAGAAGCCAAAACAGACTAAGGCACTGGGCCTCTGTTGACACTAAAATGGAGTTAATAACACAAACTTCTTATGAATTTTTTTTTGGATCCAATGTGACAACATTGAAAATGCCAAGCACAGCACTTGGAAATTAGCAGAGACTCAATAAATGCCATTTTCTTTCTCCTCTTTCTTCCCCATTTTTCACGTAATATCACACCTACTGTAGGATGACAAAATCTATACCTAACAGGAAAACAAAGTGTTAGTGACTCAAAAGTATCAGGAAATTTTGTCTTTTGTCCCCTTTGATAAACATAAAAATTTATACTCTTCTTTAGTTAGTTATGTGATGCTTCCAATATATTAAGAACCTCAACTAAAAACTTTGGGACAAAGTGTTGCTTTACTTTAGAATAGCACAAAACTTCCCTCTTGAGATTTACTGGTTAAAACAAAATCAGAGGTCTGGTCTGCAGTGGCTGACAAAGCACTAATTGTTTTTAATGATCTTTAGAATATAACCTAATTAATGACTGTGTTAAAAACTTTCTGCTCCTTATTGCTTTTCCCATTCATTCTTGCTTAGTGAACCCCTCTGAGTGCTCCAGGTGAGCTTGGAGTCTTTTTGGAACATCCCCAGTTCTTCGCATATACCTGCCCAGGGATTTTTCTGGGATTTGCATGTTTACATTAAAGAAGAAATGAGGAAAAAATTACTTGTGAGCCTATTCTTTACCTTAAGTTGGACATTTGTTATAGCAGAGAAACTTTTTCCCCAGGTAAATGAAATACAAGGAAAGGTTACAACCAGTATGAAACATTAACTATGTATTACAATTGCAACCCCAGTGCTAAATCAATCAATAATTCAAATATTTATTGGCCATCAGCCATATACACAATGGAAAATTAAGGAAGGTCTTATGTGTTAGGGGTTTGGGACTAAGTCATCTCTGCCTCATCTCCTTAGGATCCATCGGGCAAGGGGAAAGCAACTCGTAATAAGTAGGGTGTCCCTTTATTACCCAAATCAGGCCACTGCTCAGAGCAGAACAGTTATGCATCAGAGAAATCTCTGAATTGTATTTGTCTCCTTCTTCTTCCTTGTTTCTTTCAACAGCAAGTTCTATGATCTGTCCCTTCAAAATGTTTCCATGATTTGTTCTTTCTTCTCCATTCCTGCTCCTCAGCATCAGTCCAGATCCTTACAACCTCTTCTTTTTTTTTTTTTAATATTTTGATGGGGTTTTCTTATTGTGGTAAAACAAACATAACAAAATTTACCATTTTAACCATTTTTAAGTGCATGGTTTGGCAGCATGGAGTACATTCACATTGTTGTATAACCATCTCCACCATCCATTTCCAGAATTTTTCATCTTCCCCAACTGAAGCTTAGTACCCATTAAAAGTATTCAAGAAGGCTTCGTGAGTGTTCATATCATCCTCATACGGGGCCTTACAAACCTCTGTATGATTCCAATTTCAGTATGTGTGCTCCCCAAACGAACACCCCTTATGACCTCTTGACTGATTATTGTGATCTTCTGATGCCTCTACTCAGCTGCTGTCTTGAATGCCCATGCTGCCATCAAGGTGGAGCTCTAGGACACAGAGTAATTCTCTGGCTTAAAAAGTCTCCGCTTTCCTACAAGATGACATCCAGGCTCTTACGCAGGGCATCCAAAGCCTCCCACAACTTGCCTCTGCCTTCCTCACCTTTACCATCATCATCCTGCTTCCCTCCACCCCACCGTCTCTCAATGACCTTTTGCCATATCAGCAACAGGGGTGGCCAACAGGAGCAGGCTGACAAAACTAACCTTGACTCCATGCTTTATATGCGGTTGACTTTGGGTGAATCTGAGTTCCAGTGCCTTTCATCTCTCTGTGTCTGCTTTGCTGTCTTGCTGACATTGCATGCATTTTTAAGCCCACTCTTCATATATCACATAGCTATGAAACCTTTCTAAGCTGTCCCTGTTCCTCAATGATAACTAGCTCCCACTTCCTTGGGGCCTCCATGCTGGTATAACACTGGTTACACTGAGTCTTGTCTGTGGTGGTCATGTCCTAAAGATCAGCAGACCTATACATAGCCCATTCTCAGAAACAGAGCTAAAGAATAGCATCTCCACTCTCTTGTTTTAACTTCTTCCATGTCTTCGACCTATTTCCATTCTCCCAACAAATGAAGCTTTTCTTCAAGTTTCTCAGAAATCTGAAAACTGAAAGATCATCCAGATTGAAGAAAATATCCCTTATCTGTAATTGGCTGGCTAAGTTCTTGACTTTATGGGAGACTATCCAGACACAGACCCATTTTCTCTCATTTCCTTTATAGAGGCAGCTCATGATGGGGGTAGAGTGAGAGGCAAGGCAGAGAAAGACCTTGCAGTACTGCCTCAGGAGGATGCCTGAACCTGGTTCCTTAGTCCTGGCTCCGCATTATGTGTCAGAAGTGTCCAGGAAACAGAACAAAACCTTTGCTTTTCCTATGAGACACAACAGACAGCATTCCACTCAGACTGTAAGTGCTCCACCCCTGCGGGACTCAGCACAAGGCTGGGGACTTCATGGATTACAATCTTGAAACCATAGACATTCAGAGACAGAGGTGATCTAAGGCTCCATCTCTGTTTCACATTTGGGGCCTGAGAATTGTGTCCAGTTGTGCTCTAAAGGTCTCATTAGAGGTGAAGCATTGGGAACATGGGTAGGAGGAGTTGGTGTTCACTGAACAAGGCCCTTTTCTCTCTTCTCCCAGCAAGGGCATTAAAGACACTCCCTAGTCAAAAGTGTCTCTCTCCTTATTAATTAGTTCATTTCATTATATGTATTTGAGGACTTACTTTGTCCCAGGCACCTGATGAGCCATTGTGGATACTGTAGCAGAAAATACAGAGTCCTGACCCTCATGGAGCTCACATTGTATTTGTGGAGATAGATAATAATAAAATGGGGACACAGTAATATATGCTTAAAAAGGAGCAAATTCTATGAAGATAAAATGTAGGGTGACACAGAGTATATAATAGGGGCCCTGACTTGTTCTGGGGCTCAGACTTCAGGTTTGAGAGATTCAGTGATTTGTCTGAGTTCACACACCTAGAGGATGGGTCCTCTGACTTCAAGGGCTGTTAACCAACTTGTTAACAACCTTGTTAAGAAGGGCGCACAAGCTCCTCTGGGGAATGTATTGGGTTATGTATGCTATGTATGGTTCTAGTTATTTCCTGAATGCCTTCTTTGATTCCTAGACCAGGTTAGCATCCCTGCCATGGGTCCCCTAGGTCTTTCTATTTACCCGACCACAGCACTCATCACAGTGTTATAACTCCTTCCTTAATTGGCTGCCTTCTCTATTATACAGGAATATTCTTAAATTCAGACAGTATGTGTGTCTTGTCATTTCCGTATCCCTCTTACCAGGTCCAGGGTCTCACAGAGGGTGGGTGCCCTATGGGTATATGGGAAGAGGCAAGGGATCAGGGACTGAATAGTATCTCTATATGTAGTTGGGCTCTGGGAGACATGAAGGCAGAACTAACTTTGGGGGGAAAATGTAAAAACAGCTTGATACTTAAGAAACTAAAAAAAAATCTGAGAGTCCTGATATATACGGTCCATTGGCACCATGTTTACTGGGCTCCCAGGACAGAGAAAGTCAAAGGGATGCCTTTGCTAACTCACTTGGTACCACTGAAATAACTGAGATTTCCTAATGGTCCTAGAAGAAGAGTTCACTCTGATGACTTCGGTAGTTCAGGTGAATTCACTGATGTTTGGAAACAGCAAGTATGGACAGTTGGGTATCAGGATATTTTTTGTAGCAACTTACAGAAAACTCAGATTATTCTAAGCAATCAGAATATTTATCTCCCATAATTGCAAC